GTCTAGTGCGTGTTGATGTATTGGGTTGAGTCAGGGTACTTGCTGGAGGGGGTTTAGGGGGGGGGTGGGGGGGGTGGTGGTGGGGGTGGATGTTTGGTGTGTGGGTGGGGGGGGGGGGATGAGTACGTTGGATTTCAAGTGACGGGGATGATTGGCGGATTTTTTGGGGTTTAAAATTTTCGATTCAGGGATCACAGTTTTTAGGTAGGAAAATTTGGCAAATCTTTTTTAGTTGGCTTGATTTAAGTAGGGATTTTTTGGGTACTGATATATGTATTGACAGTTTCCTGCAAAGCCAAAAAGACATCAGAAATGACAGAGATGACTAGGGATGACTGGGAATGACTAGGGATGACTAGGAATGATAGCGATGACTACGGATGACAGGGATGACTGGGATGACTAGGGATGACAGGAATGACTAGGGACGACTAGAGATGACTAGGCATGACTGGGGATGACTACGAATGATTCGGATGACTAGGGATGGCTAACTTGACAAGGGATGACTAAGGGTGACTAGCATGACTAGGGATGATTCGGGATGACTGGGATGAGTAACATGACTAGGGATGACTATGGATGACAGGGATGACTACGGATAACAGAGATGAGTAGGGATGACTAGGGACGACTGGGATGACTAGGGATGATTCGGGATGACGGGGATGATTAGAGATGACTGGGGATGACAGGGATGACTAACATGACTAGAAATGACTAGGGTTGACTAACATAACTAAAGATGACAAGGAATGAGAGGGATGACTAGGAAAGACTAAGAAAGAAAAGGGTGACTAGGGATGCCGGGAACGACTAGGGATGACAGGAATGACCAGGGACGACTAGGGATGACTAGGCATGACTAGGGATGAATGGGATGACTACGGATGGCTAACATGACTAGGGATGACTGAGAATGACTAACATGACTAGGATGATTAGGGATGACTGGGATGACTAGGATTGCCTAACATGACACGGCATGACTAGGTATCACAGGGATGGCTAGGGATAAGTAGTTATGACTAGGGATTACAAAGATGCCTAAGAATGCCTAGGGATGACTTGAGATGACAGGGATGACTAGGGATGACAGAGATGCCTATCTATGACTAACACGACGAGTGATGACAAGGGATGACAAGGAATGACTAGGGATGACAGAGATGACTAGGGTTGACTAACGTAACTAGGTTTGACTAGGGATGACTAGGTTTGACTCGGGATGACTAGGGATAATTAAAGGATGACTAGAAATGACAAGGATGACTAGAGATGAGTAGGGATGACTAACATGACTAGGGATGACTAACATGACTAGGGATCACTAGGGAACACATTAATGACTAGGGATGACACGGATGACTAGGGATGATAGGGATGACTCGGAATGACTAGGGATTACATGAATTACTAGGCATGACTAGGGATGACTGTGGATGACTGGGGATGACTAGGAATGACTAGGGATAACTAGGGATGACTAAGGTGACGAGGGATGGTTAGGGATTACTAGGATTGACTAGGGATGACTAACCATTACCGGGATGTCTAGGACGACTAGGGATAACTTGGGATCACAGGGATGACTAGGGTTGCGTAACATGACACGGGATGACTAGGGATCACAGGGATGGCTAGGGATAAGTAGTTATGACTAGGGATGACAGGGATGCCTAACAATGACTAGGGATGACTTGAGATGACAGGGATGACTAGGGATGAGAGAGATGAGTATCTATGACTAACATGACAAGGCATGACTAGGGATGACGGGGATGATGAGGAATGACAAGGGATGACTAGGGAAGACAGGGATGACTCGGAATTACAGGAATAAGTAGGGATGACGCTATTTATGATAAGGGATGACCAGGATGACTATTAATGACCAGGGATGACTAACATGACTTGGGATGACTAGGGATGACAGGAATGACTAGGGATAACTAGGGATGTCTAGGGATGACAGGGATGCCTTGAATGACTAGAGATAAAAGGGATGACTAACATGACTAGGGATGACTAACACGACCTAGGGATAAGAAGGGATGACTAGTGATGACAGGGATGACTAGGAAGGACAGGGATGACTAGGAAAGACAGGGATGACTCGGGATGACTAGGGGTGACAGGGATGTCTAGGAATGACTAGGGATGATAGGGATGACTACGGATGACTATGGATGACAGGAATGACCAGGGATAACTAGGGATGACAGGGATGTCTCTAATGACTAGGTATGACTAGAGATAACAGGGATGACTGGGATGACTATCATGACTAGGGATTACTGGGATGACTAACATGACAAGGGATGACTAGTGATGACAGGGATGACTAGGAAAGACAGGGATGACTAGGGATGACGGGGATGACTAGGAATGACTTGGGATGATAGGGATGACTATGGATGACTGGGATGACTATGGATGACGGGAATGTCTAGGAATGACTTGGGATGATAGGGATGACAGGGGATGACAGTGATGACCAGGGATGACAGGGATGACTAGGGATGACTAGGGATGACTAACATGACTAGGGATGACCAGGATGACTAGGAATGACCAGGGATGACTAACATGACTAGGGACGACAGGAATGACTAGGGATGACTAACGTGACTAGGGATGACTAGAGATGACAGGGATGACTGGGGATGACAGGGATGAGTAAGGATGACTGGGATGACTAACATTACTAGGGATGACTAGGAATGACTAGCGATGACAGGGATGACTAGGGATGACAGGGATGACAGGGATGACTAGTGATGACTAGGGATGACAGGGATGACTAGGGATGGCTAATATGACTAGGGATGACTAACATGAGTAGGGATGACTGGAGATGACTTGGGATGACTAGCAATGACTAACATCACTATGGATGACAGGGGATAACTAGGGATGACAGGGATGAGTAGGGATGACTCGGGAAGACGGGGATGACGAGGAGATTTGTGGTATTGGCCTCGTATCGTAGCCACGTCGTTCTGGAAATGCGATATTTAACACATTTTATTGACTGTTTTAATATCCAATACTTTCTGGAAATTTTTAAGGCTCGGAAATTTGGCATAGAATTTTTTTGTTTGGTTCATGGATTTTTGTGGTTTTGCTGAGAGCCATAATGATTTCTTTTGGGTTTTGATTTTTGCCCCCATTCAATCATTCCTGTCACTTGAAATTTAGAGTACCCTCTGAATATTTTCTTTGATGAGTGTTTATTGTTAGGGCTTTTGAAGGAATTTGGAACCCAAAACGTATTATTTTCTGTGAATTACAACTATAACAGCAGCATCATGCACAGGGTTTGAAACTAAATTCAGTTGATTAAAACTAAAGTCACTTTCCTCCTCATCACTGCTAGTACTGTTGATGTTTGTCTCTAACATGGTTTTGGTGAGTTTGTCTTTCACAACTGTTGAGGTACGTTTTGCAGTTGGTACTTCTGGTGCTTTGGGCATGTTATCCACTGTTTCCCTTACTCTTGTCAACTGAGTTTTACCATATTTTTGAAGCTACCGAAATAGAAAGGAGTGCAGATTAATAACTAACAATAGTATTTGATAATTAATATTTAATGCAACCCCGATGAGATAAACTACCATCACTTAAATGACGAGAGAGGTAATTGACTTGTATTTTTATTAATATTAATTGAAGTTTTAATTAGTTTATGAGGAATAAATCTGAGTTTGCATTATTTACATTTACATACCTTTTTGGAACGTTTCCAGTACTTAGGTGTTGTTAATGTGATTTCGATTTCTTCCTGACAAGTTTTTGTGCAGAGTATCCTGCTAGTTGTAGTTGGAAGTCTTGTTGCCACTTAAACATGATCATACGAAAAAGCACTGTAAGCTTAAGTCTCTAATACAAAGACGGAGAGGGATTCACGATTGAATGGACTTTTCTTTGGTTTTGAAGGTACTAAAGGTAATGGTGGGTAATTATCATCGGCGAGGTCTAGCTGCCCATACCACTGTCAGTCAGGCATTCAAGGCTGATTTTGTGCCATTTTGGGATGCAGGTCAAAAGCTTTTAGTTTTCTGAAATAGAGTAAGTAAAATTACCTTTGATAATACTTTGTCAATTGTCTTTGAAGGGATCCCTCTAAACGATCGAGCACTTTCCCAGATGCCTACCACTTTTGCTGCTCCTCTCAAAACGTACTGCAAATGGAGGTGTAGGTAGATAATATATGTATGTCAGTGAAAGGATGTCCAGCTATAAGCTATGATAAGTTGACTGAAACTTTATTTAGTACCGGCTCTTCGGCAGGCAGTGTATTTGCCTTCAGTTGAAGTGTCTACGTTTATGTAACGTTAACCGGTACACAGACTTTGTTTTATTTTCTTCTTGTTCTTTTAGAAATCATCGGCGAGCGCGGAGGGCAAGAAAGAAATGCTGGCGATCAATAAATCTCCCGCGGTTTTTCTTTTTTTATCAGGTGTGCTTGAAGGACTTTGAGGAAAAATAGATGGTCTGTGAACAGGCTAGTGTAACTTGAGCTTAAGAAGATCATGAAAAACTACTGTTTACATTCTCTGGTCCGTCCCAATAGAACACGACTTTACAGTTCAGCTAGCAAGGTGTTTAATTAGCGAGATGGATTGGGATAATAGCAAAGTAAATGGACGCTCGCTTTTGACTGCTCTTTGTGGTTTTGCTTAAATGACAACCCTCACCAATTTAGTTGTGAAAAAAAGCTACTGCACGACGTGTAAAATGAGTTAAAATAAGTTTAAGTTAACTGCAGACAAGCTTAAGTTTAAGCTTGAGCTCATATTTTAAATTTAAGGCTACTTCAGCTGTAAAAACTGATAAAAGTTAGACTAGGCTGCAGCAAACTTTAACTTAAATGTGTTTTGAGCATGTGTTTTCTCGGCTGCAACAACTGTGTGGCAGTGAAGTCCTGCTTTTTCATATCTAAAACGACTTTTTCACCATTTGCCAACTCCTGAGCTGTACAAGAAGGCTGTGTTGTC